TTAGTGTGGTTTAAGTTGTAATTAGTGCTCTGTAATTAAAGTGTCAATTTTGGTAATTCACCGGGCAGTTTTTAATTGTCTCGAACCCCAAGCTCGTAACAATATCATTTTTTTGCACAAAATAAGCTGTAATTCCACCATGTGACAAGTGGTGATAAATCTGTAGATGGTAACTCAAACTGTTAACGTGACCAAAGCTTACTCACTCTTAATATATAGAATCGGATGTTACTTCGCAGAAATGCATTGTATTAAAAATGTTAAAATTAATTACATATAGCTGAGATCCGTATAGTAATGAAAATGAAGATCTTCATCATTAACATCATTACTATTCACTCTTGCCTTGTAGACACTCATTTCATGAGACGGTAAGACAGACGCAGACAACTAATTTGCTGTACGCATTACAAAAGACGGAGCAAACCGTTTGCTTCGATTACGAGGAATATCGATAACAAACCAATTAAGTCCCGTTGACAGCCTGGTTGTCCGATGGTAGAAAGGGAAGGGCGGAATTTGGGCATATAATTCCTGCCCACTCTTTGATATCCAAAGGAATCTTATATATATTATAGAAAAAAATTTTTGTCCTAATAAAATAAAATGTTAATTGTTTTTTTTTTTTACTTTTTATACAATTTTAATTTTAATTGAAAGAATATCAAATATATATCGCAACTACATGATGTACACTTTGCTTGGGCGATTGATAAATAACAAAAAGTTAGAAAAAGACTACCTATAAATACAATACAATACAGTAAAATACATACGAGGGTGATAAAAAAAAATAGATTGCGGTAACAAAAGGGCACTATTCTTTAATACATAGCTCATATTAATGACCACTGGGAATCAGGTAAACGCTAACAAGTTATTTTTAGTATGATTTGTAAAATAATTGTACAACATTACTGAGGGATGGAAAAATTTAGTCTGGGTAAGTACCGCCCTGCTTTTTGCTGCCAAAAGGTACCTTTACTCAAGTAAGGAGAGTCAATATAATTACTGCCTGTGAGACATCCGACCTTAGCCTTTCTTTGTTTGAACTTGGTATCTGTTGTCTATGGGCTGCGGTAAGCATCAGTATATCAGGCGGGCTGTAAGTTTCTTTGTAACATTTTTATAAAAAAAAAAACATACCAATATGATGGTAAACTGTTCTGTTTTTAAAACCCACGGGATTTTTGCTCAGAACGGAGGTATTTTTTAAACTTGTAGTAAATTTAACTTGAAGATGACTTTTATAAAATATTATTCATAATCTTTAATAAAATATATTTGTTTTGTGTTCATCAACTCATCAGGAATTAGTTAATTGCACGCCACTAATATGTAATATGTTGTATAACTTAGAATTAAATTTAAATTGAAGCAAAAAATCAAGCATATAGCTTAGAACACGACATGATTAAATTCAATAAGTAAAGCTGCGGTGCTGCCAAGGTTCAGCTGAAACCTAAAACTAGATATCGGCCTCTCATCAGATTGTATCACAGCTGTCAGTATGTCCCTACAGAAAATCATATGTTAACTTACCATAATTGAATTTCCAAATAATCAGCTACCACCAACCGTCTCTACAGTTTCCCGACATGTAAACAAAGGAAACAGCGTTAAGTACACACGTGTTTTTTTACAAACAATATTAATGTTAGGGTTTAGAGTTTAGACGTTAACAATCTGAAAGTCAGTAAAAAAATAAACAAGCACGAATATTAAATGTTTTGATGGCACTTATTGTGAATTATGAGATGCAAGAAGTGGAAGGATTTCTCCACTTCCTGCATCTCATCATTCACAAGCGTCATGCCCGTACTACAATGTTAAGTGTAATTTCATATAAGGTAGAGTCCAAAGAGCGAGCATATTGCAAAAAAATAAAGTATTTATTTCACCTCTATTTCATATAAAAAAGTTAGAAATATAATCCATTATCACGCATTTAATAAAACGTGTTGGGAAGGTGTACTTGAGTACGGTTACGCGAACACAACACATTGCAAGAAACCTTAATAAATAAAAACAAAATATTGCGTATATTTAGCTTATTTTGCATTAAATAATATAAGCCATAAAATTTGTTTCATTCAATGCTTTAAGTTCATATAATAATTAAAATGTATTCATGTAATTCAATACTGTATTAATTAAAATTATTTAATGAATACAATGAAAATAAAATGAAATATATATTGTGGTTTGGATTAAAATAGAGTTATTTTTCATACATGCATGATTAATTTTAAATAAATAACATATTTTTAAAATTTTACATTATTGCGCTAATAGATGTATTGAAAGACAGATTATACAAGATAAATTAAAAAAAAAAACAATAACTGATATAGCCCGACCAGGGCTTCGATCCCGGGATATCGTGGTTAGCAATCGCGTCCACGACTGCTAGAAAAAGGAACCAGACAAACAATGAAATTAGCGATATAAAAAGATCTGCCTAAAAATAGATTTTAAAAATGATTCGAATTGAAATCTATAAAATCGAAGTATAGAAGATCAATTCTCAACAAATTGGTATTTCCATTTCTCTACTTTTCTTTGTGAACATTATTCCCACACTAAGATATTCTCACATTTTTCGGGACATCAGCGCAACATGGTGGCTAGCGTGCACAGTGACTTTCATCAACTAATGAACATCAATTTATTACAGCATATCAAAAGTCCATTGTTCAACAAAGCCCTCCCACAGAGACAGCCTTATAGGGAGGATTACAGCTTCTATGTGACTTTTTTGTAAAGAAAATTGAAGTGACAAACAAACTTAGAGTCCATCTGATGGTAAGTGCTTATAGTAGCAATCTATGGACAAATGCAGCCAACTTAAAAAAAATGAGCGCGCACGCTTAGTCCTTTGAGCATCACATCCTGTAATTGAACTGGCTTTTCTACAGACTTCAAAAAGGAGACGGTACTCAATTCGACTGTATGTTTTTTTGTGTGTGTTACCTTATAACTTTTTACTGGGTGAACCGATTTCGATGATTCTTTTTAGGGTTCCGTACCTCAAAAGGAAAAAACGCAACCCTTATAGGATCACTTCGTTGTCCGTCTATCTATCTGTCTGTCGGTCTGTCTGTCTGTCTGTCTGTCTGTCTGTCTGTCAAGACCCTTTTTCTCAGGAACGCGTGGAAGTATCAAGCTGAAATTCATATTAAATACTCAAGTCTACTGTACCTTAGAGCTGTGAAAAAAATCAAACTTCTAAGCCAACGCAATCAAAAGATAAAAACATAAATTTTTAGTTACATCATATAATAAAAATATTTTTAATAATTTTAAACTTATATACCTACAGATTTGTTCGGAACCCTCGGTGTGCGAGTCCGACTCGCACTTTGCCGGTTTTATTATTTGAAAGCTGGTGCTTCACATGTGGTCCCATATAAATTTAATCAAGGTCTGACGAACAGTTTTTGAGTTATACTTAATAATATATATTGAAGTCGGTTGTACAAAATTTTTAATTTTAAATTATTATACTCTTTACACCGAAACAAAACAGCTCAGGCACTGTTGCTTGGCGGTGGAGAGAGATAAAAAGTTTGTGTCTACCAAGACCAACCGCTAAGTAGGAGTTCTAGAATTTTACTACATATGTACATGCTATGTACGTGCGTACTCCCTTCGCAGGCTATGTAACTTTGGACGGAAAAAGAGTATTAGGCTTCACTTAAAACATATTGTGTATCCAATAGAAATAGAAATATAAACTTTTTTATTCAATCTAGATTATAACTAATACTTATTGAAAGTCACTCTTATGTTTAATTTACTACTGGTTTGGAAAATACCTGGGAAGAACCAGCGAGAAATCCAGCCGGACATTTAAAAAAAAAAACGAATAGTTTACAATCATATTAATAACACAAAACAAATCAAAAATAGCTTGGTACCAATGACACGAGTATGTAATGACAGCCCTATAGTGTGGGATGAGTCTCATTCGGCTGTCGGCTAAGTAAACTCATCTGTTGTTTGAAGAAGACACAAGTTAAAGGAGTTGTTAATATTAAAATAAATTCAATTGTCTGTCTGTTGGCTTTTGAATTACGACTTAGATATTTGTAATTACGTGACATATTAGAACTGGAAACGTAGTCGTAAAGGTTGTAGTGTGTCATATAAGTTATAAAAAAAGATATCCGCTGAGCCTTTCTGCTAATTACAACTCCCTTATACGTGCGAATTAATGCAGTGAAGTTGCTGGCAACAACTAGTGGACGATAAAGTTATAAAAGTAGACAAGTACAAAAGGCGACAAACAAGCAGACAATCCACCTGGTGGTAATCTGTGTGGTACATCTGTTCTAGATTCAAAACACACCTGAGAACTAAAATGAAATTCTTCGTTACCAGTAAAAGGGTCTTTGATGGTAAATCAAGTTTTTTTATAACACTGAAGTGACAAACGAGCTTACAATCCACTTGATGGTGGTTTTGTGTGTCTTGTGTCTTCAAGGCAAGAGTGTTACGGCTCTCAGTTGCCCCGACAAAAGTCGACTGGGCTAGGGCCCATAGTAGCCCCCTCGACGTTCAACCAGAGGGTTCGGGCCCAATGGCCTATGGATAATATATAAATAATATATTCAACTATCGTCAGTAAACCGACTTTATGGCTGATTTACACAGGGTCAGTAACTGACTACAAATTCGAGGCAAGTCAGTGCTGACCCGAAAAAAAACTTGTGTAATGGCTGATTTACACAGGGTCAGTAACTGACTACAAATTCGAGGCAAGTCAGTGCTGACCCGAAAAAAAACTTGTGTAAACTGATTTGAAGTCAGTACAGTGGCTTGAAGTCAGCACTGACTTGAATATTCGGATACGAATATTTTAAAGTCAGTTGGCGCCCCCGCCACCCGCGCACCCCCGCGCCACACAAATAAACCTCGTGTAAACAGACAAGTCAGTGCGTGGTTAGTCACTGCCGCTGCGTTGTAGAGTGATCACGTTTTTTTCGCTGGCGATAAAAATGACGCGTAAGCTTAGCGAAGACGAAACCTTAAAATTGGTGCAATTATATGGCGAAAACGAGTGCCTTTGGGATATTAAATCCCTAAATTACCGCAATAAAGAAATGCGGTCAACAGCGTTGCAAAATATGGCTCAACAAATGCAAATCGGAGGGCTCACTTCTACTGAAGTAAAAAATAAAATTAAAGCCTTAAGGGCTACATATTATTTAGAGCTCGACAAGATACAAAAATCCACCAGATCTGGCGCTGGTGGGAACGTATATGTCCCAAAAGTCAAGTGGTTTCAAGCACTGGACGGCTTTATAAAAAATGCTATTGTAAAAAGGAAAACAATGGTAAGTAGTTATTGTAACTTATTTATTTTATTTCCATCCTAGGTACCTATACAAAATTAATGAATTCTATCCAATTGCCATGGCACACTTCCAGCAGTCATAAAGAAGTTCCTATAAGGTCTCTTTTTTCTTTAGCAGTCATGGAATGGTTGCCTCTTTGTTGTTCTGAAATGCTTGGTAGTGGATTTATTTCCGATCTCCATGTTCTATTATTTGTCCATCATTGTCCTCTCTGTCTACACAAGTAGATGTTATGTAGGAACTTGAACGCTTTCGCAACCAATTATGCAGGGCACAGGCTGCACAGACAATGGCATCAACTGTGTCCACATGGGTTCGAATTGCTTTTTCGAACACTCGGAATCTAGAAACCAGTATACCAAAAGCATTTTCACTTATGCGCCTTGCACGCGACAACCTGTAGTTAAAGACTTTTTCGGCAGTACTTAGCTGCGTACCTGGATAGGGTTTTAGTAAATAATTCTTCAGTGGAAATGCTGCATCACCAACTATTACTCCATTTGTAGGAAGCAATCCATCTTCCAACCGACGATATAATGAGGAATTTTTGAAAACACCTCCATCAGAGGCGTTTCCATTCGCTCCAACGTCTATATATGAAAAACAATAGTCGTGGTCTACAAGTGCTAACAATACTGTACTATTGGTTTTTTTATAATTATAAAATTCACTTCCACTATTTGGAGGAGCTTTAATTATAATATGCTTCCCATCGATTGCTCCATAACATGAAGGGAAATTCCACTTGGTATTGAAACCGTCTTCAATAATTTTCCATTCTTCCCTCGTTCTGGAATCTGTAAACAAAAAAAAAAATAATTACAACCTAAATACGTAGTATCATGAACTAATGATTTATTAAACATTACATTTTATTCTCATTAACAGGATAACTCAGGAACCAGCAACGATGACGTTGAGTTGGGTGAAGCTGAGGGTGTTGGTGACGGAGCTGAAAATGTATCAAGATCTACTGAAAATAATGATAATTCTACTGAAACGCCAACTGAAGCCATCCAGACGCCAGTTCGAAATTCTGTGACAGCTTCCAATCAATCTGGGCCTTCGCGATCAAAACGCTCCAAAATATCTCAGATGGCCGCCATGATAAAGGACTTAAAAAGTGTGTCAAATGATGTTAATATGTCACCATTTGAAGAAGAGTCTGACGCTGATATTTTCGGTAAACATGTGGCAGCTCAACTAAAAAAACTGAAGAACAATCTGTTATTGCACAAGAAGAGATCCAAAAAATATTATTCAAAGCTAGATTGGCTGATATACAACAAAAGAAGTATACAGAAAATGCACACTCTTCATCCCCTAACTATTTTATCCCTAGTCCGGCAGCAACTACAACAAGCAGCACAAGTAGCATGGGATTTTACTCCCTGGAGCCCAACCCAATGACTGCATCAAGCGACAACACCATAACATTTTACCCGCCAGAGGTTGCCGAGCCTGCCACTAGCAACAGCTCTTTAGGATTTCATCCTTCCGATCGATCAACGAACCCTACATTTGTAAACCCCAGGCAGGTTATTATTACACCCTCAGGTTTGAATTACAGCACCACGATCAACGAAGAAGCTGAAATTAAAAATAACACTGCTGTTAACACGATTATGCGTTCCTATGAAAGTTCTTAATACTATTTTGATGTTGTATTTCTTAATTTTCTAATAATTTAATAATAAAAATTTTCTTAGCTTAATATGTGTTTTTAGTGCCGTATATATTGACCAGCACACTTCTGGTATTATTTGAGAAATTGCTGGTTTTGAGACACGATAAAAGTGACTAAGGAACCGATAGTTCATTCCTGAAGCCAAAAATGTCAGCGTTATTTCCAGTTTAATTTTGGCTGGTAAAGCATCTCTCATGAATGTATCATGTCGTTGAATAGAGCTCGATATCATTGACAGCAATTCGTCAAAATTCTGTGGTGACATCCTCATAGCCAGTTTGTACTCCGCAGGATCTTCAAATCGCAATTGCTTCAGCAACAAAGCAGAGCCACCAGTTTCATTTCTATCGTCAATCCATTTTCTTACCCATTGTCGTTTATTTTTAGTTATCTCATTTTCTACCATTTCTATTAACTCATTCAACAGCAAAATTGATAAATTTTTCAACAAATAATTAAATCGTCGTTTCAGTTGTTTTCGCGAATTCATATTTCCCACTGACTTCACACACGTGTGCTCACCGTGAGAAACGCACCACTACTACTTACTTCATGTAAACAGTTAAAGTCAGTCGCGGCGCCGACATTGGCGCTGCGACTGACTTGTCTACTGACCCTGTGTAAATCAGCCTTTACAGACAACCGATTTTTGTTAAGTCAGTGCGCTTCACCATCTTCAGCTTTATCACCACTTATCATCAGATGTGATTGTATTTAAGGGCTGGCACATAATAGTAAAAAAGTTAACTGTGTATCTGGTTTTTTTTATAGAATAAGGGTGACAAGCGAGCACACAGCCCATCTGATGGTTAAGTGGATACTAAAGAAATCTACATCTATCCTCGATTAAGAATTAAAATGCAGATGCGTTGTCATCCTTGAGGGTTAAGATGGAATGCTTCCTATCAAGTAAAGATTTTATATGTGATAGAGCAATGCTGCAGCTATATTACTAGTATGGTTGTAGCACGAATGGGTCAGCTGGACCGGGAAGGACCACGCTCTCACAGAATAGCAGTGTAAAATAGCATCTCAATGCTGCTACGTTTCGTATGGTGAGTGTAGAGAACCGGAACCACCCTATTTACTGAAAACGAGGGTGGTAGAATTCTGGAGTTGATAAAACAGAATACCAGCGTAAAAGCTTAATGCTTCTGTGTTTCGTATGGTGAGTGTTACGTGAGAACCGGAGACCCTTTTTACTGGAAAAGAGGCATTCCATCTTAGTCCTCACGGCTGAAGACACATCTGCATTTTGATTCTTTATTGAGGATAAATGTAGATGTCTATGGGCCACAGCAACCACTTACTATCAGGTGGAATGTCATATGCTCGTTTGTCACCCTTATTCTATAAAAAAAAAAACTTATGGCGTATAAGAAGTATTGGTAGTGTAAAAATATGCACTACTCCATATCGCCCCGTGGGTGTCGGAAGAGGTGATAGAGGGAAACTGAAATAGTAGATGGCCATGGCTTCTTAATAACACCGATATAATTATATGTTTTTTTTTAATTTTATATGTTTTTTATATTTATATTTTATATAAGTACATGTTTCATCATCTAATGTTGATGAGTTGTATGTCACAGTGCGGTTAACTTTGATTGCATTTTCGGTGTAATTTATGACAAGCTGTCGTGGCGTGTGGGCCCCTTTGGGCGGAATGGGAGGAACAGTGAAAGCATAAATTATTTATACGGTATTTGTTACTTCCAATTTTAATGCAACGTTTTTATACATCATTCTTTAATATACACAGTTACATAGCAGTGCTATTGCGTAAAAATTATGGTCGACTGCGCTTTGACATTTTTTTTAAATACCTATGTGAGGGGTACAGGAACACGCGGCACAACCGATGGTGACTACTACCGCACATGAACACCAACACTAGGACAATAGTAGTTGCGTTGCTGGTCTTTTAAAAAACAGTAGGCTCTTTTACATACGTACATACATAAACACTCTCGCCTGTCACCCAGAGGGGTAGGCAGAGACTAACGACTTCCATTTGGCACGATCCTGACACACACACTGACATTCCTTTTACGACCCGTTTTGCAGTAAATGAAGTTCATGAAAACCCCTTTTTTAAAACAAAATAACAGTTCAACTTTATTAAACCGTTTAACCCCTCTCTCTTTTCACTAAATGACAATAGTAGAGATAATAAATACTTAATTTGAGTAAGCGATAGACAACGATTGTAAGTAAAGTCGTTAAATAATAAATTATAAAATTTGTATTGTATAAACGTGAACGGCATAGTCGGGAAGGGTCGCCCTAGGCGAAAGTTTATCGACCAAATTGGCGATATATTAAAAATGGGCCAAATCAAGAGTACCTTTAACCGACGAGCGTGTATGCGTAGGTATATGGATGTGGAGGAAGCGAGAGAGGTGTGTCAGGATCGTGCCAAATGGAAGTCCATAATCTCTGCCTACCCCTCTGGGTGACAGGCGTGAGTGTTTATGTATGTATGTATTGTATAAACATTTATCAGTATTATAAGCCGTTGTCTTTTATACCGACTTCAAAAAGGAGGAGATACTCAATTCGACTGTATGTTCCCTTTTTATGTGTGTTACTTCATAACTTACGTCTAGATGAACCGATTTCGATGATTCTTTTTTTATTTGAAAGCTCGTGCTCTCATGTGGTACCATATAAATTAATCCAACTGATCAATAGTTTTTGAGTTATCTTCAATAAGTTTTATAGATGTACGGTTGTACAAAATTTTTAATTTTAAATTATTTTTTTTATTTTTTATAGGATCGGGCGACAAACGAGCACACAGTCCACCCGATGGCAAGCGGCTACTGCGACCCATAGACATCTACATCTATCCTCAATAAAGACTCAAGATGCAGATGCGTTGTCACCCGCGAGGACCAAGATGGAATGCCTCCCTGCCAGTAAAAAGGGTCTCCGGTTCTCTACACTCACCATACGAAACACAGCAGCGTTAAGCTGCTATTTCACGCCGGTTTTCTATGAGAGCGTGGTCCTTCCCCGTTCGAGCCGACCCATTCGTGCTACAACCATAATATAGCTGCAGCATGGCAGCAGCATTAGATCATTATATTAGGTTACTAAATATATCACGATAAAGATATATTAAGTATTAGTAGAATGTTTTCCATCGACAAACGATTCCTATCAGAGTTACATAAGCGCTTCGGGTCCGCAAGGTGAGACTGATCAGTGATCACTGGTCAGAAATACGAGGATTCCTAATATAGGCACCATCTTTCACATATTATACATATTTATAATCTTTCTTTTTTTTAAAGAAATAGCAGTGCTATTTACTATTACTCCCTTTAAC